TATATACACACACAGTTTAGGGGAAGCTGAGCTTCCCTTGCATTCTTAGAGAAATCGCCTCTGTTTTAGACAGATGAAATGATGAAACAAGAGCTACAGCAGCAACAGCACAGACTAATAAAACTGCAGCACCTAAACACTGTAAAAATAACTGAGTATATTAAATAATCTCATTAAATCAAAGTGTACTCAACAGAGGAGCTGGTCCAGCTGCATCAGAAACAGATGAATCGACTGGAAGCAGCTCCTTTCTACCCCAGGATAGATGCACACGTCTCTGAGGAGGCGGCGGCTGCTGCAGGTCAGAACCATGAACATCATCTCGATGATCCATGACTACATGACCTCCTCACCTGGGCCCACGCCGGTGCTGACGCCTGAAATGGATCGAGGAGGAGCAGAGCAGCTGGTCCAAACAGCAGTGATGTCGGGTCCCCGAGCAGCTTCTGGCTCTGGAGAATGGAAACATTAAAAACAAAAACAAAAAAAAAAACAGCAACAGAGGACAGATTTCAGCCTCTGGGGCTGCTGGGATTCAGAACCCAGTGATCATCGTCTGATCAGAACACCACAGGTTTGACCTCAGCTTCATCAGGTGAAGACACTGAAGGACCTCCAGACAGGATCATCAGCCTGAATCTGAACTGAAAGTTTACCTTCTAAATCTGTTTTAAAGGAAACAAAATCCACCTATTTAGTCATGAAACAATTTATAGTCTAGTCTCTAGAAGGCAGAAAAGTCTAATTTAGTCTCCTGGTGTAAGTATGCATGACTAAACTGTTTTATTGTAACAAATTTACAGAGTTGGGGACGACTCAGCATTTAAAATAAATCTTTACATGAGTCATAATCTGGATCTCTTCAGGCAGATTAGCTGTGGACGTCTTGTTAGAGATGCACAACTAATACTTACTTTTCCCACATGCTAAGTGGGGGTCATGTTATTTTTATACTGTTTTTTTCCACCCTCAGGTTTTGGGTCAACCATAGAAGCAGCTGCACTGATCAACATGAAATTTTGGTTAGAATATAGATGTATCAAACCTACACTGATCCAGCCAACAGTTTTGATGCGACCCCATATTTAAGGAGGGGGCACCATCAGAAAAGGGGGTGTCTGGTCATACAAAAATGCTTATAACTCCAAAACTATTCAAAGTAGGAGCTTCACCTTTTTTCTTTTTTGGTTTAGCTCTGATTAACAGTGCTGGCTCTATCCATTTTGGTGCCCTAGGCGAGTTGAAGCGCACCCCCCCCGAACTATGTCCCACCCACTCCAATTTGAACCCCTAAAAACAAGTTTGACAGTGTCAGGTACTATGGTAAACTTAGATTTATTTGCTTTAAACCCAAACATCACACAACAAATTAAATGAATAAATAAAGTAAATATAATTAAATCAAATGAAAAGGGTAAACAAAAGACCCTGTTCACAATTTGTGCAAAGATTTAGAAGGTCCTCTTTTTGGAAAATATGAGTCTGGTTTTACATCATAAGGTCCTCTGCTGACAAACTCAGTCCTCACTGTGTCAGAATGGATGTCAGCAGGATCTACGGGCTGCTTTGATGTCAACCTGAGAGGCACTACTAGCCCCTCCCCCGTCAGAGTGTCGGAGCAGGACGAGTCAGTGCAACGTCAATCAAATGAGAGAGAGGGGGGGGGAGGCAATTGATGCATTGGGTGGGGGGATGTTTTATGGGTAGATTAATTTATTTTTCCTGTAATACTTCATTGTTTTTTAAGACCAAGCTAATTGAAAGGGGCGCTGAGCAGAGTTACAACCAGGGATTACAAATAATTACTTTTCCTTCTGCAGTTTGGCGTCCGCTCCAGCAGATGGCGCTCTAGGCGACCGCCTAGTTCGCCTATGCCAAGAGCCGGCTCTGCTGATGAAGGGTTAAACATCGGGCCCACCAATGAGCCCCCCTGCACCAAAAAAAAAAAAAAAAATGTGGTGACGTCAGTGCCAAATCGTTGGTGATTTCTGTTTAAGGGTCATACATGCTTCCATAATGCAGTAGTTTAAATTTGTTCAGCGATTCAAGAGAGCACACACACACACACACAAATGCTTTTAGAATATTGTATTTTCATGAAACTGTTCATTTACATATTGACATTTAACTTGTAGTTTTTTTCTCCTGTAAAGAAACATTTAATAAATTTGCTTCTTAACTGAGGACAGAAAGACCTTTATTAGTTCTGATTTTAAATCATTACCAACCACTCCAAAACCTGAAGGGATTCTAAAGAAGAAGAAGAGTAAAACAAATAAAAACAAAATAAAATGTGCTTAGATGTTTGTATGGTTTAGGCTGGATTCACTGAGCAGAGTTCAAATATTTAGTTTGACATTTTGGATTCAGCATTAAAAAGCACAATGTTTGAAGTTAACAGGTGAAATATTAAGTTCATGTTATAGGGGTAAGTCGTTCACTTTGATTGGTCCAAAAGTCCTTTCCTCCTCCAGCGGAGAACCTACGACACAAACAGTGAGACACGGTCAGGAGGTAAACTTGTTTAAACATCTCGTCTTTGCTGGGTCAAAGCAAAGAACTGGTTCTGGTGTAGCACTGGAATCCATCTGAAACTAGATTTAACACCTATAAAAAAAGAGATTAGGGCCAATGGAAAAAAATAAACTACCAATTCAGACTTAGGAAAAGCCTGAATTCTGACAAAAAACACTCAGAATTCTGACTTTAATGTCAGAAGTCTGAGAAAAAAGTCAGAACTCTGACTTTGTTTCTTCAGAATTAGGAAAAGGTCAGGATTTTGAAATTAAAGAGAATTATTTCCCTCCTTTTTTGTTTCAGAAGCACCAGACCTGGTCTAGCAGCAGAACAAGAAACCCTAGAAGTCAGGATTCAGTCCTTTCTGGTAAAGTGAAGCTGTGTGACCAGGTACGAAGCTGAGGTCTACCTGTTCTCAGCAGGTCACTGCCGTCATCTTTTCCACAGTCTGTGTCACAGCAGGAGCAGACACGATGGTTCCCGCTCGCCTCCTTCCACCTGGTTAGATAAAAACTCTAGTTCTGATTGAACAGAAGCTTGAAATGTTTGAATATCTGGTCCCATCTCACCCGTCAGTGAAGAAACAGTCCTTGTTTGTGGAGGTGACGGGTGACGCAGCTGCTGTGGCCCTCAGACTGCAGGTGATGTAGAGCTGAAGACAAAATGAAGACTGTCACAAACAGCAAAAACCAGAGAAAACATCCTTTCAATGTGATTTACGTTGGTCTCACCACGCCACTGTAGTCCTGCTCAAACCTGAAAGCCTCGACCTCAAACTGGACTTTGTCGTCTTGAGTCCGAGGCAGGAACCGTGAGCTGGACCCAGTCAGCTGACTGTCAAACAAACACCTGAACACAGAACCAGAATCAAAATCTACCAAATGCTGAAGCAGTAAAAGGTTAGTCTGTGTTGCAATTTGTTTTGTACAAATAACTTGAAATAAAACGACACGTTTTATAACATTTTTTAGAATCTCATTACAAAAAGTAGCATCCATCCATCCATTTTCTGCTTCATATCTGGTGTCGGGTCACGGGGGTAACAGCCTAAGCTGAGAGACTCAGACCTCCCTCTCCCAGCCACTTGGACCAGCTCCTCTGGGGGAATCCCAAGATGTTCCCAGGCCAGCTGAGAAACATAGTCCCTCCAGCGTGTCCTTGGTCTTCCTCTGGGCCTCCTCCCAGTGGGACATGCCCAGAACACCTCACCAGGGAGGCGTCCAGAAGGCATCCTAACCAGATGAACCACCTCAACTGCTCCTCTCAACACGGAGGAGCAGCAGCTCTACTCAGAGTCCCTCCTGGATGACTGAGCTTCTCACCCTCTCTACGGGAGAGCCCAGACACCCTGTGAAGGAAACTCATTTCAGCCGCTTGTATCCAAGATCTCGTTCTTTCAGTCACTACCCAAAGCTCGTGACCATAGATGAGGGTAGGAACGTAGACCGACCGGTAAACCGAGAGCTTCACCTTCTGGCTCAGCTCTATTCACCACGACAGACCGTACAGCACCCACATCACTGCAGCACCAATCCACCTGTTGATCTCTCGCTCCTTTCTTCCCTCAGTGAACAAGGCCCCCAAGATTCTTAAACTCCTCCACTTGGGGCAGGACCTCCTCCCTGACCCGGAGACGACACGATACCGGTTTCCAGCTCAAGAACATGGTCTCGGATTTGGAGACACTGATACTCATCCCGGCCGCTTCACACTCAGCTGCGAACTGCTCCAGTGAGAGCTGGAGATCAGGATCTGATGAAGCCAACAGGACCACATCATCCGCACAAAGCAGAGATGTGATCCTAAGGTCACCAAAAAGGATCCCCTCAACACCTTGGCTGCACCTAGAAATTCTGTCCATATAAGTTATGAACAGAATCGTAGAAATCGTAAAAAGCAGCATATTCATGTTAAAGCCCTACACTTCTGTCCCTCACGGTTTGAGGGTTGATGTTCAGTAAACTCACCCACTGTTTCCTAAAAAGGAATATCGAGGTACGGTATCAACGTTTGGGACCACAGTTGCCACACAGTTGTCTACGATCACTCGAAGAGGAATGTGCTGAAACTGTTTGACTGAAGCTTCAAACTTCATCATGTCACCCAGCAGGAACTGAGGCTTTGGATGAGTGAACTGCCAATCATCTAAAAATCAAAAACACAAAAGGATAAAGAAAATAAATTACTGAAACCGTTCATTCTGTTCAGAATCAAGCTTAGGATCGTTCCTCTCTAATTTGTCAACTGAAATTAAATCAAAACCTACCAGTCATGAGTTTCAGGGAGAAATAGAGACTTTCCTCTGAACTTTTGTCAACACTGAACGGACTCCAGGTTGGTTTCAGGAGCCCACTGCTCACATCATGCTTCCTGTCAAATCAACAGTTTGTAAATTAAAAAAAAAAACCCTCAACTGTTGGTGTTTTGGACCAGGTCCAGGTCTGAGAACCAACCTTTTATAGTGACACTGAATGCTGACAGAGACCTCTCTGCTTCGAACGATGGGACTGTTCCCCAGAGGAGCAGGAGTGTAGAGAAGAGTGAACACGTAGGTGAACGTGTCCTCTGACATCTGGAAAAAACAGATTCAAGTTTTCACATCGTTCTCCTACAGGGAAAAACATGTCCAGTTCTGAGTTAGATGTCTAGTTTGTAACAAGTTCCAGCATGAGCCGTTATGCAACAAAAACAAGGAGAGGCTGATGAGAGAATTTTGCTCAGCTGCCAGAACCAAACCCAGCTGTACAGGTTCACACAAGTTTCTAACAGGACCAGACGCTTCCTTTAGCTTTGGTTCTCTAAAGAAACGATTCAAACCATCTTGACCAATCAACATTCCACCAGTTTAAAGTTCTTTAAATTCAGACTAATTTATGCACATTTGCATGTTTGATGGTGATTTGGTGCTAAACAACGAAACTGAATTCAAACCCTAACTCTTATAGAGTCCTTACACTGCCCAAATCTGGTGACCTTGATCTGTTAGTTTAAATACCAGGTTCACTATGAATGCAGATTTGTAGCTTTATCAACATGTTCTCTGGATAGTTTACAGATTGTGTTAGAAGCCGTGGAGTTTCCAGGTTGTCAAAGACTGTTTTGTCTCCCAGTGATTAGATTTTTTCTTGTGTTGAACTGCTACTTTAATGATTCTGTCATTGCTGGAAAATTCAAAGGTTGTGTAATACGTTTCAAAAATGTAAAATATTTGTTAATGTTGGGGAAAAAAGCCTTTTCTTAACTGACGTGGAACAGAAAAGATGCAGAGAAAACAGGAAAGTTAAGTAAATCATAGTAAAAGCCTTAGAACATACGTGTTTAACCCCATGATATCCTGAATCATTGTAAAAAGTAAATGAATGAATCAAATAGGCAGAGAGCATAACCCCCTTAATGGGGGTGGGGGGGGGGGGTATACCCTTGATTTGATTACCCATCCAAAAAAAAAAAACAAACAAACAAAAAAAAACAGTGAGACGGTTTAACAGGTTGGATTGTCTTTGTGCTATTCTCGATAGAAACTTAAAACTTACACAAAACAAAAAAACCAACCAAACAAAACAAAAAAATAATGGTAAAGTACATCGAGAATATTTTGAACGAATTAAACTTGAACAAAACCCTCAACATCTGCTTTGACCAGTGTTAGTAACCTGCGGAGACCCAGAAAAAATAAGTTTTGGTATTTAGCTTTTTGTTACATGGTTTAAGTATTGAGGTCGAAAGAAACATATTGCAACATTTATTTTCATAATTGTTATTTAAATTTTACCAGAAGTCTCTTCTAATGGACATTGGGTCTTGCTGGATATACTGTAAACATTCTCTTTACATAATGATTTAAAAACTGATGAATTACATTTATTTTATTTTATAAATACTTAACAGATTTAAACTTTTAGAAATTCATAGACAAAAAAGTTGTTGAAGAAATGTCTTTAAAAAGTGTTTACATAACCAATTACATGTCTGTAATGCATCTAAACATTTAAGYACTCTCGCTGGTTTGTGTATTCTGACATTTTGTTCAAAATTGCTTTTATCTATGTACTGTTTATGGTAATCAGTTGGCCTCCAGTCTTATGTGTTCATTGCTTTCCTGCAAGGGATTCTCCTCCACAACAGGGTTGAAGCTATGTTGATTGAAAAAAAAAAAAAGAGAATTATACTTTAATGTAATGCAAAATGTGTAACTACATATTTAATTGCGTTACAAAAATTTACATTGTTATACATTTTAAAAAAAGTTGATTTTTTTCCTTTGCACTCACTATTACCAATGAATTCCATGACCCTAACTTACATATTACTTTTCATCAATATTAGTGGCATGTTCCTCTTCAGACTCCTCAAAAACTGTTTTATCTTGAACTTTCACATACCTGCTCTACTATCTGGCCTGCCTCCTCCTCATCATCTGACAGCTCTTAGTCTGACTCTTTCCAAAACTCTCATTAAATCATTTCTGCCTCATTCAGTCCTATATATTCCAAAAACTGGTTAAGATCGTCTTTAGCAAGTCCCACTGTCCCCTAAAAAGGAAACTGGATAAAACTTGTATTTTTACAGAGTTAACGATATTGTACTTAAATTGGACAAACTCATGGTGCAGACATACTAATGAGGAAATGTCATTTTTAGCAATATAAATAATTTTTGATAGGAAATTTATCACTCTTGCCATAAAATGTTGATATGGGGATTTCTGCCATTAAAAAAAGCAAGTACATGTGCTCTGATAGCCGTATAATCACAAATGTAACATCAGTAGAAAGCCCAGGATGTCCTTTTTACAGCACAGTGGGACTCAGATTGCAAGTGTAATGTTTAAAATATAGGGCTGAATAGCATGTCCCCCACAGAGAACAAAAATGAATTGATGGGTTTAAAGTACCTTAAAGAGATACGAGTAAAAAATGACTTACCATGAAAATACTTTAGTAAAATTAAGTTTTCTTTAAAGTCTTAAAGTTTTTGAGATTGACTGCAAGATGAAACAACTTAACTAGTAGATGGATAAGACTTCATTCTGTCTTTAGAGTCAAATCCTGAGGACTGAAACCTTTAAAAAAAACTCCTCACCAGAAGCTGGCTGCCACATTCATGCAGCTCAGACTCAAAGATCAGAACTTGAGCCTCTGGATCTTCTCCTGTGGCAGGACATCCTCCCAGAGTCACATCAGCAGCCGGGACAGGTTTACCGATCCCCAGCAGGTCTTTCTTGGCCTCCACACGAACGGAGTTCTCCCCACACGCGATACTGATGGTCTGCGCAGGGGCCGGGGTCTTCAGCTCAAAGTGAGGAGGATACCGAGGCTCCTCCTCAGCCGGAGGTTCAGGATAACGCCAAGATAAAGGCTCCCTGAAATCCTGTTTCCCCTGCTGGACAGCTGAGAAAGGTAGTCAGAAAAACACCAAAAATAGTTTTAAAACATTTTTTCAGCCGATTACAGCACATTGTTACCAACTCTAGTTAAATTAGGACAAGACTGCTCAACTTGATCATTTGTCCAAAACTTATTACAATTATACAAGTTTTTTTTCACAAGACAAAAGATTTCAAAGTAGACACATGATGCTTTTAAATCTTTCACATTTAAACCCTTCAGTTGGGTCTATATAAAGGGTAACTGCAATGCTTTTGACTGAATTCCTCCTTATTGCAACTCCACAAGCCCCGCCCCTTTTCTGAGGTGTGTCTCACGTTTTGAGGCTGTCTCTTTAAACCCAAATGAGAAGCTTCACAGCCCAACTCCCTCCAGGCTGGCTCATTCTGGTTTGATAGAGAGCTTTAAGACTATATAGCTGCGCAGCAATTTTATAATTTAATTAAAAGATGAGACAATGAGGCAAGACTTGTCCATCCAGCCTGACATGTTGGAGCCAGAGTCTGGCCCAGAACCAGACAGTGAAGACCACCAAACTGTAGCTGGTAAGTCCAGACCAAATTTAGAATTTGTCAAAAATAATTTGAACTAATAGTTCAGAAAACAAAGAAAAATAAATAAATGAAAAATAAAATAAAAAAGAGAAAACTGAACAGATTGAAAAATATGACCCAAACAGAATAAAGATATTTCTGCAGCACCAGGAGACTACAGTCAACTTTTCTGCCTCTTAGAGACTCCCAAGTCCACAACAAAGTGTATTTAACAGCTAAAAAAGTGGATGTTGCAGATATGTCTCCTTTAAATAAGATTAAGAATCAACAGCTTCGATGACTGGGATAAAATAAAGATCATTTATGTTTGTTTGATTCTGTGGACAGATTAAACTTTATGGTTTTAAACATGATTGCACTTTAAAAAAATCTTATCTGTAGAAATTGTGTTTTAAGAGAAACAGAGTTAACTTAAAACAAAACTCACAATTTCAAGCACCCCAGCATGTGAAGTTGTTGAAGCCCACCCAACATGAATAAATGCAGGTCAAAGTGAAGCTGATCAGAGTGGATTAGTGGAGCAGATATTCACCTGGTGGCTGCTGGACTGGAGGACGGCTCGGTCTCTGCTGTTTAAAGCGAGCAGCTGTGTGAAAAACGTTCAGAGCTGCTGTGGAGAAAACTCCAAGGAGCAAGAAAGAAACAATCCTGATGAGCAGCATGGTGCCAGTCACGTCTTGTTCTGAGTGTTTTTGTTGAGTTAGAAACGGGTGGGCACTACACAGGAAGTGGCTTTGTAGACTTGACTCCGGGCACTGCCTACTTTCTAATCATCCTGATGCTCCTCCAGCTCTGCCTCATTAAGCTCTGCTCTGGATTCATCCATCAGGTCTGTTAGCAGAGTTTAAACCTACATGACCCCCCCCCACACACACCTCTATCACTTATTTTCTTTTTCTTAATCTGTAATCACTAGAATGTACTTTATTTACTGGTTTCATGACTTTAATCTCTTAACTGGAAACAAGTTGAATTGTGATTATTTCGAACATCTTTGGCCAGAGATCAGTTTGTGTGTGAAAGAGTGTTGGACTTTTAGAGATTTCTAATAAATTGTATTGTATTACTTTCTACAAAAACACCTGCCTGTTATTAATCATCAACCAAACAAGGAGTTCAGAGCTCGTCACTCCACTGTACTTCCATTATGTTTTAGGTTAGATTTATATGTTTTATTTCAAAGCTACTTTTGGCTTCTCAGCCTATAATTTATCTTCATTTTTAAACTGTTTGAATGCCTTGGTCTGTAACTTTGACCCTGAAACTTTGACTAGTCATAACAACAGCTGCAGACTGGGAGAGACAAGAAAACAATTGGTTCTTGATTATCGCCTAGTCATTGTTCCTTAAAGCACACAGATATATGGGCCTCACGTAAGTTAACCAGCTAGGTCCCACTTAAAACCCAGCCAGGGCCTATTGAAGTCTGAGGAGAAGGGGTTATCTGCAGAATCAAAGTGGGCGTGTCACAAGAGGCCCATCAAAAGCATAAACACTGTGGGCTACGAGGCCTACATGACGGTATCCTTAGATCCTGCTTGACCTCTTTACAGCCTGACCCTGATCCCAACACTAAGGTTAACCAGGAGAAATGTGACCCAAGTAGGGKTYTCCAGAAAAARTGGTGCCGTACAGTAACGCCCCTTTTGTTCTTGTCCAATCAGGTGGTGCCGTACGGTATCGCCCCTTTTTTGCTTGTCCAATCAGGTGTGWCCCTTTRACAAAGTCCGTCAAATCAGGTGTGTCGCTTTAGAAACGCCTTTCCTTGCGACACGCCCACTCATCCGCAGAGACCCCTACTTGCCCTGTAGGGCCACCATGCAACCGGTTGACAAACCCATTTGGGACCCATGTTATTTTCATTTATCATGGGGCCCACCTATGTGTGCTGATGTTTCAGTAACACATCATTAAAAAAACAGAACTCTTCATCACATTTTTTAAAATTTAAGATAAAAAAATTCACATCATTTTGAGTAATACAGTTTTTATGATCTCTCCATAACTTCAAGTATTTAATATGTCTGGTGTTTGCCATATGTTCAAAATTAATTATTGGCTCTAAAATAAAGAATATCTGATTCATTAATTCTTTTATTTATATGTTCAGTTTCAAACAGCAGCATTTATGTTACAATAAAACAAAATGTTGGTAATATTTTATCACCAGCAAAACAGAATATTTGATTTAACAAATGCAACCACAGTCTTAGAAGTGTGTGTGTGTACTTGTACTACAGAGGGCCACTTTCACAGTATTTACCAACAAAGTAAGGTCACTTGTGGAATGTGAGGGCATTTTCCTGGTCCTTACTTTTTGTAATTCTGCTGTGCTTTACTAGTTAGGTTTGTGAAGTAAATTCTGGTTCAGGTTAGGGTTAGTGGTAGCCTGATAAAAACCAGACCCTTGTCCTTCACTTTGTTTTGTACGAGGGTCTGGACTCTTGGCTATAGAGAAGTGATTCTTGCTGAAGGCGTGGCCTCTGCTGAAGTTTAAAATGATTGGATCAGTTGGCCATGATGTATGTCGCTGTGAATGAGGCTAAGCTAAGAAGCTAACCAGAAATCGTGTGCACTGTAAACAACCCTACTGAGAGAAGAAAAGTACCGAGCCGAACGAGACGACTGTAAATGAGAGCTGCTGCTTTGTCAGACAAATTTATTTTAATTTGGAAGCCTTATCAACACGGACTGGCTTCATTCACTTCCTCCACTGTCATTGCTAAACTAACTAACAGACACTGCGCAGAAAATCAACATCTTTCAAAACTCCTCCTTCTGTTTGCTGATTGGCCCAGGTAAAATAAACTACAAGCAGACACTGCACAGAAAATTGATATCGTTCAAAGCCCCTCCTTCTGTTTGCTGATTGGCCCAGGTAAAATAAACTACAAGCAGACACTGCACAGAAAATCTACGTTCTGTTCTCTGATTGGTCTGAAAAAAATGATCCTGAAGAAATCCTTGTCTAGTATATATATA